AAGTTCTGTATATTTAATTCTTTTTGCTCTATATTGTCTTAATTCTATATGTATTGCTGCTATTCGTTCTTCTGCTTATTCTGCTGTTGTTGGTTTAGTTCTAGCATTTTTTATTGTTTCTTGTTTCACGTGACTGATTTGTTGTTTTGTTTGTATATCTCCTTTGTTTTCATCTGTCACATGTTTTTTAATGTGTTTTCTTTATTTATTCTTCATTACGTGTTGTGTATCTTGTGTAATAGTAACTGATCTGCATTACGGAGTCAAGGCCAATCCCCCAAATAATTTGCAAAGGGCAAAATTATCGACAATTTTTCTAGTTTTTTTACTATATCTTTGCCACTTCTGCTTTTTTTCCCTCAAGTCTCTTAAAAGATTGAGTATTATTTTTAGTCTTCTTGCTTTTTCCTTAGAGCTACAAGTTTTGTTTCCTATAGCCGTTTGTGTATTTCTATCAGTTTTTGTAGTTGTTTTGTTTTTGTATTTTTGTTTACAGAGGATTAGCGGGAAGAGTTGTGTATGATTGATTTCGAAATATTTCGAAATATTTCTTTATTTTTAATTTATATTAATTTTAATTTATACATTTTATTTTTAAATAAATCGTAATAAAAATAGCAAAATACTTTATTAAACAAACTTTAAAATAATATATTTTATAAAATTCTATATATTCTAAATCCTTCTAAACTAATAAACCAAAACTAAACTATTGACTACGCTTGCATTTCTAAAATTCATCTTCAAAATTTCACATTCTAATAAACTGAATTCTTCTAAATCTAAGGTCTCAATCCCGGTCTCCATTACCCTCCCGGTGATGCACAAAACCTACAAAATAGAAAAAAATATTAGTAACAAAGTAAAAAAATAACAAAACAAAGAAAATTATGACTGGTACTTATCTTAGTACTAGTTCTGGGTTCAAGATTCAAATCCCGGTCTCCATTAACCCTTCCCAGCAAAGCACAAGACCTACAAAAGAGAAAAAAACATTAGTAACTATATAAAAAAACGATAATACAAAGAAAATTATTACTGGTATTTATCTTAATACCAGTTTCAGATTTAAGATCCAAATCCCGGTCTCTATTAACCATTCCTAGCTAAGTACAAAACAGGTTCAAGATCTCAATCCCGACGAAGCACAAGACTTACAAAAGAGAAAAAAAAATATTAGTAATGAAGCAAACAACGACAAAACAAAGAAAATTATGACTGGTACTTATCTTAGTACCAGTTCCAGGTTCAAGATCCAAATTCCGGTCTCTATTAACCCTTCCCGGTAAAGCACAAGACTTACAAAAGATAAAAAAAAACTAGGGATAGGAATGGCTTATAATAAGCCAGCTTAATCACAGCTTTTAAGCTGAG